ACCGCAAAGCTGCTGACGGCCACCAAGGTCCAGACCTGGCCCCGGGGTCGGACGGAGGAGGGGCGCCCGTCTGGTCGAAGCGGACCGCACCGTGAGCCTTTTCAGTTTCGGAGCCGGGGCCGGACACCGGGGTGCTGTCCGCGTCGAAGACCACCGGTCACCCTTCTGGGGGGGGTTCCGGTGGGAGCTCCATGGGCGACTGAGCCGGCGACGGAAGGGGTGGCCCACGAAGTATCAAAGACCTGGATTTCTCTAGAAAACAACATGGCTTTTGTATAACCTCTATCTTCCATGGGTTTGAGAACCACTGGTAGGTATATGGCTGTGGGTCGGTTGACCTACTGTACCTTCCAGGTCTTTCTACGGACCAGACCTACCTTCTTCAGGACCCATGGTCCAGGTCTGATCCCAGTGCCGTCTGCTAGGTCCTGACCCGTCTGCATCAAAAGAGGCTGGCCCGTCTGCTTTCCGGCACAGTCGGAAACCAATGCATGAGCTCTGCTGGTCCAAGCCCAAGCCGCTTGCTTGCTACACACGCGTGAAATCGGGCTCGGTTCAGTGAATGTTGCAAGTCAGTTGATTTCTTTTCCATCGATGTCGGGTCGGCCCATCACTTGCCTTCTGAGCAGGTCGGAACATGAATGAACATGAGGTGCAGTCCACAGAGGCCCCCTGGGAAGCCCCTGGCGGCTTGGAGCCAAGTGCACAACCATGAGCTTTAGAGGCCCAAACCGTTCCAGTGCTTGAACGACCGAAAACCCAGTGATGAAAAAATAACTGGATCTGCCCTGCTTGGACTACTAGACCTGGGAACGTTCTTAAAATAGATCCACTACCAGGACCTTCCAAGAGGTGTCTCGAAAATAGTCTTTTAGTGGTTGAGGGGTGTCCAAAAACCACCAGTTGGAAGGTCCTGGGAGAGAAAGATAAGCAAGATACTGTCCCGGTCAAGTCGACTTCGACGATATTTTGTTGCACCGGTGAAGTAAAGGAAGCTCCTTGACTCGGGTCATCAAGTCGTCTTGTTCTTCGTCTCTGACTCTCAGGGCTGTCTCAAAGACATGGTTGACCTATCCGAAGGGTCCAGGAGAGTCCAGCACCATCCAAAGGGTCCAGGACCATCCGTTGCCCAGGCAACGACCAGTCTCAGGTTTCGTACGTACGAAATTCTCTGTTCGACCATCCCAGCAACGGATGGTCCTGGACACAGTCTTGTTCATCCACCAAAAGACGAAGACCAAGATCGCTTCACCCGAGCGAGAGGTAAGAAACTGCACTCGTCTGAGTCTGGGGCTCCAGCTACGATGGCCACGCTGGGGGCATCCCATAAGCGGCACACCTTTTCAAACGCCCACGCGCGAGGAACTCGCCGTCCGTGCGGTCTCAACTGGCCACTCCCGGCGTGCGGGCGGGGACCACTCCCCGTAGTGGTTAACATGTTGGAACCTCCCTGCACCATCCGACCATCTGGGTGTCCTGGCTGGACTACCCTGCTATCCGAGATGTCCAGACTGGCCCAGACAGGATGGTCCAGGTAGGACCTCAGTTCAATTTTGTTGGTTTCTACAGCTGCCACTAGCAGGTGTTTGGTCAGCCACAACGTACTTAGACACAAAGCTCACAGAGTGATGCCCCCTCTGCAGCCAGCCGAGAACAGGACAGGTCAGCCAGTTCCATTTAGTTGTGGATGAGTCTTGGAGAAATGGCTAATGCAACTAATAGCAGCCATATTCACAATGGAGGTCCACATGCTCACTTCTCCGCCACATGCTCACAGCCAGCAACATCAGCAGCCAGCACAACGGCACACCACATCGGTAGGGGAAGAGGGGTGACATATTTGGGGTCGTCGATCTCGCAGCACATCCCTGCATAGCACGTCCCTTCAGTTTCATACTATTCATAGGATTCATAGGACCCAAAAAGAGAAGCGGGGAGCCAAAAAGGTGTTGCTGCCGGGCAGTTTCATCCTAAGCACATCGTAACAACAGCAACAGCAACAACAACAACAACTACTACTACTACTATTACTACTTACTACTTACTACTTAGTACTTACTACTTACTACTTACCAGTTACTACTTACTACTTACTACTTACTACGACTACGACTACGACTACGACTACGACTACTACTACTACTACCACTACTACTACTAACTACTACTACTACTACTACTACTACTACTACTACTACACTTACTACTA